ATATATATATACATGAGTACCATTTCAATTGTCTGGGCAGGCAATCCGGATGCCGAGCTGGAGGATGCTGTGCACAGCGCAGCCACGGCTGCTGATCCCGGTTTGGAGGCTTGTTGGAAATCCCACTAGTGATCTGTAATTCTGAATTATAAATAAAAATTAAATTGTAGTCCCACCAGATATGATACCCGGCCGGAACAAATGAAGTGTTACAGTCATTCTCATGCCACGGTACGATATGGGGATACTACAACTTTACATTAACATCGTCTTGACGAAGGTCTCATCCCATCAGATTGGAATAGCTCGCCACCCTGGCCCGACCATGCTATCATCGCACAGGAGTAGTTGGGGTTATGGTGCCTCGCTCGACACACATGTACACCCTTAATTAGCCGCCCTGAACCTAAAATCGCTCTCCTAATCAATAACGAACCAGGCAAGTCCCTCGACCAGATCCTCGCCTTTTTCCATTCCAGAGGCTCGCGATGTTTTTCGGATAGGTCTCGGGGGTAAGCTGCTGAGGTTCTGGTTCCAGTATGGTCTTTTAATTATAAAGCATCATGATGATTGCTTTTCAAGTGAACCGCAAACCCCAACAAGCTAAAGTACAATACACCTGCTTAGTCGGATCATCTAGGAATTGCAATTGGAATTGCAGATGTAGGGTCTATGGAGCTTCAGGCATTTACGGTATCGGGTTTTGCAAATTGAAGAAATGGTTCATATATAGGGATTGCAGGTTTAGCTGGCCTTGAGGGGTGACTTTAATTATATCTTTAATGATAAGGTTTGATTCGATTTCGGGGATTCGGGTTTAGGGTTTCTGGCGGAATATTTAAAAATATATATATATATATACCGGGAGATAATAATAGAAACTAAAGGTGAAGACGGCAACAACGGCTCTAGCAATTATTTCGAGGGCTCCTATAGCCAGGAATGTTGAGGGATCCACTAGTGGTCCACCAGGAGCCCGATGCGGAGCCGCAGGCGCTCATGGATACTGGCGAGGATGCGCAAATCCCCTCTCCGTCGCCGGCCTCAGTGCCAAGCACAGCCCAAGCAACCCGAGGGAGTTCTGGGGAACTCCAGGTGATTCGGCTTTCAATTGAGATGCATGGTAGTTCTCGTCGCATATATTAATTTAGCCTGTACTGCTAGGTGACAACGCCCTCCCCGAGCCCTGTTGTGCCGGCGGTGGCTGAGAAGCTATATATGGATACGATGGAAACCCAGCTTCCGGGTGGCTTTCCGGAGACCCTCACCGTGCAATCTATCGCCACCCCGTGCAAGAACATCGATGGTGCCCGGCGTCAGGCAAGCCAGGACTGGGACATAGCCCCGACAATACACTATTACTTGAAATCAAGCTAGTGCCACCTCGTGCAATTTTTGCAGGAGCTTCGCCCTCCGGTGCATGTGGAGCCCCCTGCTACTCCAGCATCGCTATCTCAACAGGCGGCACAGGCTGCAGAGGACTTGAAGGCCAAGGCTGCCGACGATGCAGATTTAGTTGATGCTCAGAGGAAGGCGGGACAAACTTAGAACCATTCGGTATACTTCGGGGGCTTGGGCTTTCTAGCTGGACTTGCAAGGTTGCGGATGCAGCTCGTGCTTCTGCTGCCTCTAAGAAGCTTGCCAAGATGGAGAAAAAGATCGAAAAGGGCGGGGGCACAGCTGCTGCTGACAAGCCTGTCAAGAAAGACTCCGCGAATAAAGCGCCCAAAGCCAAAGCAAAGGCTAAAGGGAAGGCCAAGGCCCTTCCATGCAATGCGGCCGGGGAGCTCCCAGCCACAGCAGCAGTGCCGGCAGCGACAGAAGCGCCGGCAGCGGCAGAAGTGCCGGCAGCGGCAGAAGCGCCGGCAGCGGCAGAAGCGCCGGCAGCGGCAGTGCCTGAGATGATGACGGCTGCAGGTTGCACATGGGCCGAAGCTGCCACCAAGCTTGGACTCGTCTATCTCTCGATCGGTTGGGGTCACTTATAATCTAAACCCTTTATAAACCCTAAACCCTAATTATAATATAATAATAATTAGTGGGGTACTGCAACTGCGGGCTATAACAAAGGCTCTGGTGTTGAAGAAGTGCAACATCCCGATCCCCGACGGCTTTCAGGGCAAGAGGAAATCTTACACGACCTCGATCGATGGAGCCACCTCAAGGATTCAGGTCTTGTGGAGCGAAGGTTCCCTTTACGTCAATGAGAGCAACGGGGCCTATGGTGTGAACGTGAACCAGAAGGGTGGTAGCACGATCAACTGCAGGAAGAACGGAGGGTGGCCCAAGGCGTGGCAAATGGCCGTAGCTTGTGCCGGTGCAGCAGCTGCTTGATTAATAGTTTTATAGAACAGGCCTGGGGGACTTCGGATTGCATTGCAGGGGTTCGGGGGCAGGGCACGTTCAGTAAGATGTGAAATCTGAGACCGCCGCTGAATCTTAACAGTACAAACCTAGAACCCCTAAAAACGATATACCTGAAACCCGAACCAGACTGGAGTACAGCTTTCGGAGCTCCTACTGTAAATGGGTTCTAGTGCCAGTAGGTTTATAATTACAATTAGTTATAATAATTACTTGGGTTTGGAGTTGGGACAGATCTAGAGGGTTTAGGTCAATGTTAGCTCGATGGTGATGAAAGGTAGGTTAATATTTCGATTCGAACCCAACCGATTGAAGCTTGCGATGCTTTATAACCAATAGGATTTATCGAAACCATGGAGCACATATATCATACACACATAAAAATACAAGCATAGACGACATGTACATATATAAATATACACACATACATGTACACAACTTTATAAAATATAATATACATGTATGGCCCCGTGGCTTCAGCAGTAGCAACCTGAGCTGATCATGACATTGAAGTTTTGTCGACGTCGCTATTATATCCTAGCAGCTTAATAGGCCTCTACAGCATGTACTACGTATACATGCATACATGGTCATGTGTG